GTGTTCAGCTATGTATATCATACCTCGACAATAACATGCCCTCAATACTACTATGATTGCAATTCGATGCAGTCAAATCTAGACATAATCGAACTGTAGGGCAGAATGCTTTACAGAGTAAGTAGTGTACACATATCATGATCAAACAACCTACCTTTTCTCGAGCATTTCCTTACTCATTTCACACTCCGCCATCTCGTCATCGCTCTCCTCGGCCACCCGCACTACGGCCATATCCTCAGCATCCGAATCCATGTCCGGGTGCCACTCACTGTCATCCGAGGAGTCGTCGGATTCCTCACTGTCCTCTTGCTCCGTTGGTACATCTATGATGGGGGGCTTGAATCTGTTGGCTTCCCTTGTATTCATAGTTTTCTTTGTCTCAGCTATCGACGGGTTATTCATCTGTACATCCTTCTCTATCTCCGATTCCATCTTGTAGCGCTTCTGATTACTCTCATTTGTCGATGGGGACAATTCTTCCTTGGCTATACTGAGCGCACTATCGGCTTGAGAGCTTGGCGCATCCGATGCCTGTATTGATGTGATGACTGAATTGATCATACCCAATAGGGTAGCCCCACCAACAGATTGAATGGGACTCGTTCCGTCACTAGTTATCTGTGTACTGCTTTTCTGGTTAGATTGCTCGCCGGCTACTACTATTCCAGTACTATCGTCCGCATCTGATGTGGTAGTCTCGCGTACGGATTGATCCTTCGTGGACACGGCATCGGCATCCGGGAGCACGCTTCCAGAACTGAGCTGCATTTCGCGCTTTGTCGATAAATCCTTTATCTGAGCTGCAAATATACCACCCTCTTCCGAGTTCGCACCTTTTAAACTGTCTCCCCCATCAAGTCCATGCACTTCACCATTCACAATCGTCTGGTTTCCTGAACAAGCTTGCTTATCATCAGCCCCAGTCCTCTCCTCAGCCCAAGGGCCAGCCATGCCTTCCCATCCAAGTTTACCCTGTACATGCCCCTCTACATATGGCTCTGCATGTCCTGGTGTGCCCTCCATGCTTGCGAGTTGCGTCACTTGCGACTCAGGGCGGATCTCGGGGGACTGTTCTCAACACCTGTGTCGCGAACGGTAACACGACAATATCCCAAATCCCGTGAAACTAAATTCAACAAAAGAATGGTTGCTCAAACATTATATTGCCCGCCAAAAAAATCCATGACGTGCTTATATCACTATTTTCGGTTTTATAGTTCCTCTTCAAACAACACCTTTTATATTCATAAACCCTGATATTGAAATAATTACGTGTGTACAGACTACAGTTGTACTGTGTACATGAAACGTTGTTTGTGACTCTGTTTGTTACACTCGGACCGTCGTTTCACTCAGGTATCTGCACTACAGAAGTACGCTGGGGCGGTCAGTGAGACGTTGTTGTAGGTTCCTAGGAGTAGTCTGTAGCTAAAACAGCATGCCATCATCGAAAAAGGGCGCGTTCGGGTTGACACCATGGGTATGTTGTTTGTCTTAGAAGAATATATCTAAATTCAATGTGTATGCATAGGACGGTAATATACTACACAGAAACGGTGAATAATCTTGGCTAATCCTGATACCGTTACGGGACCGCTCAAAGAACCAAAAGGTGAGATATGCACGATTTGTCGAGCTTCTAGCCCTCAGGTAGTTAGGGGGTGTGTATGAAAGGATAAAATAATCGGTCGGAGCAGACAACCCGGGAAAGAATCGACTATGTCAATCTGTACTGTTGGAACATGTCTATATCAACGACCTTCGATGATTTCATTTTCAAAATCTTAAACAGACTTTCTTCTCATTTAGCGTTGTCTGCTTCAGGTCATATATCTTTAATAAAGATACCGAGATCATTGTGAACTTCTGCACACCGGTGTATACCGAAGAGCTTCGCATTTCGACTTTATCAACTTATACGTATTCAGCGAAGAGGAATATAATATATAGTATAGCTTTAGATTATACGCTGGTCTATAGTCAAAGGATTGCTGTGCGTTTGGAATTTATCTGTGCATACGCACATGTACTTTGCATATGCGATAGTCCTTGAACCTCGCTAATCCATGGGGGAGGAGGATAGGGTCGGATGACTATGTTAACTATTGCATTTCGACAAAGGAACTAAATATAGTTAGATGTGATATTGCCAACTGCCTGCTAGTTTGTATCGTATAAATGCTCATACAGCCGGACTATATGTGAAACTGCATAATTGAACTAAATGGCCCCATCAACATAGGGCAGGGAGCTGTTAAACGCAATGGCATCTCTCGGGGGCAGGTTGGAGAGAGGTGCGGCACTCGCCCGTAGCGGGAAAGTGTTTAAGACGGAAATCAAAGGTACCGCAAATACCATCGGCCTTCTTCCTGCCACTATTTAAGGATTATTAACATACCACTATCCAGTCGAAATAACATGCGTATGTTTGCACTGTGATTTAAAGCATGTATAGCCTCTTTCGGATGTTTTCTCTGTTATCTACAATCGACCAAGTACTTGTGCGTAATCATTTACGAGACAACTGGGCCAACAGTATTTCTCGCACCTTCAAACGCTCCAGTAAACCCTTCTGGAGGCAGAACAATCCTGCATTCCATGATTTTTATATGCAATATATCAGGTGGTGCATTTTTCGACTGAATGTTGTAGGTTGATCTATACATATGATATCACAGGCAACTCGGTAACATCAAAGGTAAAAGGAGTTTCAAGTCCTTTTTACACAGTCAGCTGTACATGGCCTCGTTTCCAGGGCGAGCAGAAGAACGTGATAGTGAAGCTCATTCAGCAAAACCCACAATTTTTAGGCGAAATTCTTCGGTATGTAAGTATATGTTCATATCAGCCTTGTTTTTCCAATGTTCGTGTGCAATCTAAGGAACAGTTTGTGAAGCTACCGTGGAGGGTTTTCCGATACAATTTGTGCCAAATTCGCAATAAATAACACTAAACTGTTGCTAGTAGCTGGCGTGAAGTAGCCTGATCTGTGCCTGTTTAAGTGGCTGTGTGATAGTTTGTTTTATTTCGCTCCCTAACAGACGTGCTGTTTAATCGTTTCGTCTATTGTTGTGAGTATTCACTCGCTTTCTGTCTCTCCCTGCAACTTACCTCTAGGGGAAATCTACCCGTTGATTTGATAAAGGCAATACAACATCTGGCGGCACAGTCTGGGGGCGTGGCACTACTGCCCACTTCGTACCATGAGTTGAACGGACAGTGTAATTGCCCAGATAACATGGGGGGTGGAGGAGGAGGGTATTACGGCAGGAGCGCCAAACGCTCAGGAGACCCTTGTAAGCATCAGGCAGGCCTTTTCTATATGGTATGTTAATTGGTGATGTACGTATCCGCTGGCGATCTCAGGCAGGTCTACGGCATTCGAAGGAGATTTGATTGTGCTTATCGTCCATATGTACACCTTACCTCCGTAGATAAACACTTCAAGGGTTAAATTTACTATTAAAGCTTCTATCTCCATTGCACTTCCACCTGGACAGATAATCAAAGAGGTGGATAACAACCCGTTCACTCTCTTCACACTGCACGGTCTCGATATCATTGTGAGTTTGGGTATGCAGTCGGTGGGCCAGGCCACAACAACCCTCGCCTATCCCTTCGCTATCACACAATACGCACATGATTCCGATGCGCACACAGAGCCGCAGAGCACCACAGACACAGTGGCGCTACCCAAACTCTGCGCAGCGACGACTTTTATCAGTCGGCTGCTTTCGCCGAATCCTGTCTTTGATTCCACCTGTGACTTTCGCGACGTTCTGTTGAGAGTATACACACTTGCAACGGCCAAGGGTAAAGGGTCAAAGAAACTACTGGCGGAGCCAGTATGGATGGCTGGTTTAGAGCAGGAGGATGTTGATAGATTGCACGCCATTCTCTCGCATTCGCATATCAAAGTGCACGTGTGTGCTGGTTTGGAACCATCAAAAACATTCGTTTCAATCGACAATGAACTATTTAAAACCGATGACAAAGACGCAAGCAGTGGGGACTACATGAATATGCTGCATCCGGCGAATCTGATGCGTTCGCAGTCTATATCTATGGGTATGCCGGTAGTTGCTCTGGACACACTCTTAGCATTACTCCTTCGATTTCAGGTATAATATCCAATTGATAAAGTGTATTTTATTTTATATCAGTCTGCGCACTTTGCGGATAGAACAGTAAGTACATGCTGAGCTGCATCCCTTCTCGCTGGAGTTTATCTTTATCTGCCTTTTAAATGGACTGTTCGCGAGTGGCGATGCACTTTCGGTGTCTCAGGTCTGAAAATTATGGTCAGTTTCCCAAATCTGTCTATCATTCAGAGCATACGCTTGAGCACTTTTGAAGTACCCCCTCTGACTTGTGTTTGTGATAGAATGCCTTTTCACTCACACCCTCACAATCCGCATAACCACACAGGCAGGTCACGTAGGATCGCCTTCGTATCGCTACTTCTGGCAGTGTGCGCGGCTTGCATTCATCTGTGTTTCCAGTGGCTGCTTCCTACCCATTGTCATCCCCACAGACACCACTGGTAGCGGTAGATGCTGGAGCGTGCGGTATCGTCCGCTGCGGTGTAATACAGCGGTCGCCGAGACTGCAGCTCAGTTGAGGCAACTGTACCCAGTGCCTACACCTGCTAGGGGATCTCTTAAGACGCAAGGGGTAATGTTCAATACCAATTATGAAATGGTCGATGGCAAGTACATTCTTCTTGCGCCCGAGGCGGGCACGGAGATAGCGCTCACAATGTTCATCTCGTCCTTGGTATATCGCTTGGCTCTACCGGCAATACAGCCGTTGCACGCTACATTCTACAAACCACAACAGTATATGGCACTTACCCTCGGCGACCAGAGCCTGGGTCGGAGCGTCGGTATGTATTAGTCAGGATGACACAGCGGATCAGTGGTTGTCACACACCTATATGGTTTGTTGCTCAAATACTCGCTGGAATTTTTCTGGCTCCCTTCGTCGCCGCATCTCGCTCATTAGTTTCTTTTACTGCTCATACGGTTGGCGAATATTTTCATGCCTTATGAGCACTCCCCGCAAACCAGTATATTTCTTGACTACAAAGGTATTGAAGACTTTCTTGTTCACCTCCACAGTCAACTGGCTGTCGGTCTTCGAGATCATGGACTTTGAATACAATATCGAGCTGGCCATACAACCGGTGCCTGACAGAGACGACCACGATTTCTCTATCTATCTGAGTTCCAAGCGTGGGGAGAAACTGTCAGACCTCGAGGAATCGTCGCAGAAGTCTCCACCGTCAAAACAGGGAAAATGGAATTATGATTCGCGAGAGAATACAGCCAATCCTCATCATATTATACAACACTCGCCGATGAAAGCCCCGGTCATACTTAAATGTAAGTTGGTATTTAACCATGAGAATTTTAATACACTTGTGTTATCTACACGTCAGAGTAGATTTTATCGTACGTGGTGTTGTATGTATATATTGCTTGCTATGCAGAAATCAAATATGATCCGTTTTTCGATTGTGTACGGGACATCCTTGAAGGCGGCACAACAACGAACTATGCAAACGAACCTGGCTCTGCACTGGCTGTTCTGCTTCGAACTTCCAACTAGACATTGCAATCACACAGAGTGATCGTTATTAGCATCTGTTCTTGCAGCATGGCCCCTTGCTTGACGTGCGATTCGCGTTCAAGACCACATACATTTATATATCCAGGTACTGTTCCGTTCCTGCATCGTTGACTATGAGAGAGTAGTTACTACGACTCCAAACAAGGAAGTCAATATTATTATTTTATTCTGAACACAGTGCTCTCTGCCTTGGGTGAGTATATCCCCAATATCGGGAAGCTAATGAAGCAATCGACGACACGGATTGATTATAGGCAGTTTGAGAATTTGGCACTCAACAGTGAACGTATACTTACAATGCTGGGCGTGAAATTGACTGTCCCCAAGGGGTTGCTTAAGGTGTGGGCCAGTGGTTATTTGAAAACACTTTACTGCCACATAAAGCAGACTACAGGCAGTAGCATGATTCCTGGCTTACTTCATTTCGCTTTCGATCATACGATCATTATCCAGAACTGGTGGCCTAGTGTCGATGCACATATGTTATCAAAGATGTTTCTGCTACTCAACTTTTATTTTGTTCGTAACTTTGAATACACATGGTACCATAACGTTTGCTCTATCTGTATCCTTAGGTATTGACACCTAAACTTGTTGTAGTCGGCACTCTTGAGGATGACGATGACAGGGCACAGGTCAGAGTGAAGGGGTATCTCGAGATCGCTGCACTGTTGCAGTTCAAAGCGATGGTAGCAATAGGTATGTTGTCGAAAGTGCACATTTCACCTCTGGATCTAAGTTCAACCCAAGCTATATTCTGCTCAGGATTGAAGCACTACTTGAACATGAGCTTTCAGTGCTCGCTTTGATCTGAAAACCCGTGCCATCTCACCCTATAGCTCTGATATATACCTTTATAATATCCGATATCTGCCAGGCGATAAAAGAATCACGATCGACGAATTTGAAAAACTGTTAGACACTGGTCATGAGGTATTTTCCATCCCGTCAGATTTCTAGCGTGAGCCAGCGTCGATGCATTGTCCTGTATTATCTTAAGAATATAAAACGTTGGCAGCTTCTTATAAATCGTTGGTTTCTCTTGCAGTTGGTTGAATTTCGTGACAGTTTTGTAGCCATGAACGCTCGGGAGGTCCAGAATCTTCTGAAGGAGGCGCATAGTGTTCAAGAAAGCGTGGAGGAACGAATTTCACCGATCGAGCTCCTGAAGCAGCAGGTAGGGTCATCATATGGTTGTTCAACAACAATAATTGTAAATCAAGACGCGGCATGTGCCCTCTCGGTGTACTCGACTATATAACATGGATTTTATCGAAGCTGGATATCAAGAGATATGTGGATGCGAATGAACTTTTACCGGTGCTTGTACACAAATAATAACCGCAAGGAATTTAATCTATCGCACCTATGGTTCCTGTAATTCCATCCTACGCTACCTCAGTTCGGCGGATTAAATCGACGTGGTCTGAACATGTTTCTGGGAGCCTCGGAACAAGAGCTCGTAGACCGCATGTTGCGCGTGACGGAAGTCTCTGTACCCCAAGGACTGCGGGCGACACTGAGACCGTATCAAGAACGCGGGCTGTCTTGGCTGGCCTCTAATGCCGACAAAGTCGGTGGCTGCGTATTGGCAGACGACAGTATGAAAAAATTTTCTTTTACAAATTTCTAGTTTATAATGTCGTTCTGCCTGATCCTCCTCTTTGTAGAATAGGATGCACATGCGTTGAACACGCAGTCGTGGTACAAATTGTTACTGTCTCATAACCCTTCTACTTCTTTCTAACCGACCATGGAAACTTTGGCGGACTCCAGTGGGGCTGGGCAAGACTGTACAGGTGAGCGTTGTTAAGCGATGTTTTGAGCCAAGAGGTCGTGAGTCACGAGGTCATAGTCATATCCGCGCTAAGCATTCGGTTGTCGAAGTTTTACCTTGTCTATACGTCATTGTTCTGAAATGATCTGATTCATCCCCGTTTCATACCATTTGCTCACAGATCATCGCTATGTTGCAGCACCTTAAATGTACTTATGAGCTGTGCCACGAGAGGCCTGCTTTAATAGTTGCACCGTCATCTCTACTTACAAACTGGTCGAGAGAACTGGCGAAGTTTGCACCATGTCTTAATGTTCTGCTGCATCACGGTGATGCACGTGATATTTTCTTCCGAAAGACACTCAAAGCACACGAATACAGCAAACAGAATCCCGATTCAGAGGTGAGTACTCAATATAATTTAGCAAATTCTCATAGTTTGCTGTGAGAAATCTCGCATTCGTCCAGATTGCTCTCTAGTATAACATGGCAAATAGTGCGACCAGGCTATTTCCATACAGAGTCAAAACTGTACTTCTGCAGTCTTTGGCCAGTATGCGTTTTAATACAACTCTGCTCGACATTATTGTTTTCTTAGACGTGAGGTTCCCACTCATTGCCAAGTTCTCTTGTCCACACTCTTACACAAGGCCGACTGCCAAAGTATATCAGAAGCAGGTGTGCATACACGCCGCCCAACCTATGATAGCAAAGTGAACATACTTTCGAATAGCGCCTTCGTGTCGACCTCAGATGCTACTGAACCGGCGCGTAAGAAACAGCGTCGATCGATTACAAGAGACACACTCAAAGCCATCGCTGAAGAGGTCACGAAGAAAAAGGCTGCAGATGTGATTCTCACCTCTTACGGAACTCTGAAGGTGGATGCAAAAGTATGTGATCTATATTCATTGCCATGCGATCGAAGCCATGCGTTCATCTGTGGGTCAGGGTCTTGTTGCCATTCGTCCAGTACTAATGCTTATCGCGAATCGTTTTTTTGTAATGCAATGCATCCGTGTGTTTTTTATATACTCATGGGTCACCCCGCTTCTATGAGATTGGTAAGCGGTACTCAGCCATAAACACTGTTCACTTTATGACGTAAAATTCCGCTTTTTTTTAGATGTTTGCGAAGCTGAACATGTCGTTGATGGTGATTGATGAGGCCCAGACTATAAAGAACCACAAGTCCCAAATTTCTAAGGTATGGTGTCAAGCTCTCGATAGGCTGCATATCCGAAAAGATTATACTGTTTTCAAAGAGTATATAGTGCTTTTATAGTTTCAATTTTGGAATTGAAATATGTTAATTGTCGCTTTCATTTGGTATTCTGAGTAGTTGTGTAAGCAGGTCAGCAAAACAGCCGCCCGCCGTGTCGCCATGACAGGAACTCCTGTGGAGAATCGCCTGTCGGAGCTGCACTCCATCTTCGACTTCGCATTGCCCGCATATCTAGGCACACTGAAATCATTCGTAGAGGACTACTCGAAGCCTATTGAGGTATCTAGCATGCAAGTGCTTTTATTGTCAATTACTCATTCTCAACCAAGTCTCATATCGCATTTTATTATCGCACTGTATTATCCTGTCCGTGTGAGGCCTATGTCTATCGCGTGTAAACTATATATTCATGATTTTTTGTTGCATACAGATCGAGAGAAACGAGGAGGTTTTGGAAAACCTCAAACGGTTGACCGACCCCTTCCTACTCCGGAGATTGAAAACGGATCCAGAGATCTGTAAAGAGCTGCCACCCAAAGTATGTCTGCCCGTCAAAGTCTTTCCTCTTAACATCAATACATACGAAGATTTAGGTACGCCATACTCATGGTGCCCTCAGTCCCCTCGTGAGAGTCGTCAGATGAACGAGTGTATTCAACTCTGCCCTTTCCGCTATGGACTGTTTGTCATTTTTTATAATTGTTTATATCCATATTTTGGAGTATTTACAAATATGAGAACACATTCATACGTTCTTGCCGGTTAGGTATGGGTGCGTGTCTGTGTAAAATTTATGAGGATATTTGTCCGTATATATTGATAAAGTCGCACACTATATATGTGTATGTACACAGGTTTAGTTATTGAACTCCCACACGTGTTGTACAACAATGTGTTTCGCAGTTGTATATTTAATTGCATTCATACATATTATATTGATCCAAATTTGCTTTGCACGCAGGTATAGTGAATCACGTGAATGTATGGCATATATGTTTGTAACCGTGTGTTGATATATGTGCGGCCTGTTTATGCAGACTTCCGTATATTGCTATATGTGCGGCTGGTTGTGAAATGCTGCTGACTCCCTGTAACTTAGCGCGCCTCTCTGAGCCATAAATTCCCGTCGATCACACTATAGGTGGAGCAAGTGCAATACGCCAGTCTGAGCCCTAAGCAGGGAGCATTGTACCAGGCTGTGACCGACGATATTCTAGCTAAGATTGAGGAGGCGAAAGAGAATGGGCTACCTGCCCCTGGTCTTGTGTTCAAGCTGCTCATTGCCCTCAAGCAGATTTGCAATCATCCTGGCATGTGTGTGTTGTATAAATGAGATAGTGGTATTCTGACTAGGAAATACGACATGTGAATTAAGTTCTCAGGCCGTGGCGAGTGTATGTGACTCAGGTCTGTGCTAATCGGCCCAATTGTATATTTCCATGCAGATAATTACACTTCAGAAGAAAGCGTCAAGCAAGAGACGACTGAGTCCAAAATACTACAGGATATCAATACAAGTGGGACACCTGAGGTAGCCGATTCAGGTAGACTTCGCATTTCATCATTCTTCGCTCCTGTTCTTCCGGAGAAAATACATTCCTTTCAGCTTTTATGATCGATGCCATAGCTAAATCCGGGAATTGTCGGTTTCATACTCGTCTTGAACTTCATCATCCAGCACAGCGTGCATCTGCTACCAACTTGTGCACCATTAATTTTATCTGTCATCAATTCGTTCAGGAAAGATGCAGTTGCTGCTGGAACTCTTGCGCCCGATTTTAGCAAGAGGTGAGAAGGTATGTACCTACACCGACATGTAACGAACCGTACGCGCAGAATTGATAAATTCATACGACTAGAAGTGGAAGCCTCCCACGAAATTATTAATTCCAGTGAACGTTTCTCGTTGGTGTGAGGTATTTGCTATTATGCGATGTCCCACAGAAATAAAACCCCTTGCTATTGTACTACCTATGTTTTCAATTTACATTTTACCGTTTTCAGGTGCTGATCTTCACCCAGTATGTGAAGATGGCCTATCTGCTGAAGAATATGATAGCGCGCACCCTCTACACTCGACCACTGGTATACTCTGGTGCGCTTTCGGTGGATAAACGCCAGCAAGTGCTCGACAAATTTGATATTGATCCTGCTAATTCGGTACGTTTTAGAGTGTCGATCTTCACGTCGCAAGCTGTTTCACTTCACTTCAGAAGTCAATTTATATAATTCACTTCGGTTCGGATTCAGAGTTTTTTTGGTGGATAGAACTTGCATCGTTGTTTGGATGTATGTACCGTGCGCTAAAGTATCCAGATGAGCCACAGATCTGACCGTTACATACGTATAATATTGACCAGCTTGCGAATCGTTCCATACCGCAGATTTTGATTTTGTCGCTGAAAGCGGGTGGAGTGGGGCTGAATCTTACCCAGGCAAATCATGTTATCCACTACGATCGATGGTTCAATCCGGCCGTAGAAGCTCAAGTATGTATGCAAGCTATAAGTTGTGTTCAGATGAAAAACAGCACCGAATTAGACATACTCCAACTTCTATCTTAGATGTACAAACCAGCACTATGTCAATTCTAATAGTTGTTATCACACCTTTTGATTGAATAGGCCAGCGATAGAGCCTTCAGAATTGGTCAGACTAAGAGAGTGTTTGTACATCACTTCGTATGCCAAAACACGTTCGAAGATAAAATTCATGAAATGATTCAACGGAAAAAGGAATTGGCCAACTTGACGGTGACGGCGGGGTATGTAAATCTTTACAAAGCATTTTTTAACTGTTCTCAGACGAGTCCTGTCCATATCTATCAGTCGCACTCTGTCCGTGACCTGTGCACTTTCAAATCCCATACCTGTACTCATCTGCAGCGAGAAATGGATCGGAAACCTGCGACATGACGAGTTGCAGGATCTTTTCAGTCTCGCCCCAGGAAAACGAGTAAACGATGAGCGTGGGGATGATGGCCAAGATTGAGTAGAAATTATTCCTTCTGGACTCCTTTAAAAGTTAAAATCGACTCAATCCTCGGTAATCAGGAATGTACGGATAGGACTCGTAACATGTTAAGTGTATGTACACAATCAAAACACCGCTGAGCATCAAGTGTATCATCGAAGACCCTGGTTGACGTATACTCATTTATCACCTTTAAGCACTCATTCATGGAAATAGTGTTGCTAGTCTTGTACCAAGCCGAGCCGTCTTGACATAGGGAGAAGTATTCAGATGATGTTCGCCCACGATTAGCACCAAAATATCATCCAAGACTCCAGTCGAATCTTATTCTTTCACCGACCTCCAATACTCTCTCATAGCGATGATTTTGTTGCCAGACAAAACAACTGGTCCGCAGTACACGGAATCACGCAATATTCGGGAATATGTATATGCCAAGCAGAAGATTATTAAGCGAGAGGAGCACGAGTCTCCTATTTGGTGACTAATAGAGGATGTGGTCGGCCGGCTTTGGTTTGATAGAGAGTATAAGAGAACGATGGGTGAGTATTCTTGGATTTTTACATGGCTCACCAGTACCTGCACGACCACGAATTTGGCTTTGCAATGGAACGCTCCTGGTTGCCTACTAAGCTCGACTTGTTAGGCAGTAGTACAACGATCAACAGTCTACAGGGCTAGCGAATGCCTGCTGCTTGTATTGGTTGCCTCCGCATTGACAGCAGTATCATTGTGTATAGACATGAAATACAGCCTGATAATAGAGTGCGCAAAGGAAACACTTGTAAGTCGGGGAAATCGAACTGCGTATGACAGGTCTTGTCGTGCAGATGTACACACTCCGTGGACGTGTTTATGCCGAAATCTCATTCGCGTTTCTACTAGCATGTCCCCCGGAGGTTGGGTATGCGTGTCATTCAGACTTGCTATCAAGAAAAGTCGGACGGTGGCTTCGTCTTGGGACTAAATCATAAAGAACAGCCGGACTGATTTAGCTATCTCCGCACAGCACATAGGTGTGCTTTACCGAGTGGCTATAATGGTGAAGCGTTGATTATAGCCAAACATTCACGCTTAAAGAGCACAAAAGCCTGCCACCAAACCCCTTTATCAATAGAGAAAATACATGTACCCTACACTAAATCTGGCACTGGGTGAGAGATACACTATTTTATTGCAAGATATATTCACTTATCGCACACGTCTTTGTATGTATGTTCTGGTTGTATTTTCTAGATTTTAATCACAGATGTCGTCAACGACTCGCTCGAGTTCATTTCCAATATTACATAAATCGACAGGCCTCTGGCAGGTCATTCGGATTCACATCACTGTTCTCCATAAAGCTTTTCGGCGATTCCTGATCCGGATCATATCCAGCTCGCATCAATATACTCATTATTTCTGACATTGAATTTTCAGACTTCGTAGTGTTCGGCCTCCATTCATACTCATTTTCCGAGTCACTTGCATCGTCACGAATACCATCGCGAACTTCGTCTGTGGGCAAGTATTGACATCTGCGTAGTAGGGTGAGCGTCATGGCAAGTTACATATGTTAGCGCAGACTTTAGGCTGGTAAGTTCGAGCAAATCGCACTGCGCCTGGGGTGCTCTCTAACGTGAGAAATTCGAACCCAAACCGCAGCAATATCGTAATGGCACCAGTTAAAGTCGCTTTGGCAAGAATGTGCCTCGATATGAATACGACGTCGCTGACAACATGCATACAAATACATAGGTAACGCCGACGCACATGTTGCGTGAGACGAAAAGTACTGAGAGAAATCCGTTTAAAGCAGTACTATTAGATGTGTCACCTACCTAGGAGGGATTGTATGCGACGCTGCACATAAGGGCGTCGTTTTCCTCGCTCGCACGACTTCGCTGTTTTTCTCATTTATGTTCCGTTGTGGTGGGCTGTAAATGGTCAAGCACAAGAATATTTAAGGCACATCCCGTTAGCGTATCGTTTCTTTTTGCAGAAGTGCAGCCTTTTACTCAGCATGTGCAACAAGGCGATATGTGCGAGCTATGTGACAAGCAGAAATGAAAGGGGCCCCGGAATAAAAGCCACAGTGTCCCAAGATGAACGAAGATTATGACAACTGACCAAATGGCGATTCATTTGTACTGCTAGCCTGTAAGCAGAATAGAGTTAGGTCCTCCGTGTACATTCCGGAGAATGGTGCATACACAAACACCTTTACAAATTCGGCTGCAAATAGGTAATACATTCCCTGCTTCGCCAAAATGAGTGGGCTCACGAATTTTATGCTCCTGATAAAACATAACACTGGGGAACACATGATAAGCATGTAGTTGCCTTGACAACGTGGATGCATCAGTTATTGATTGCACATATAGAACATACCTATCATACGAAACTTTGTCCCGCAGCGTAACATCGAGGGCAAGCAGTACACTGACCAGCCTATCCACCTGTGAGCAATTTCCTCCCAGTGAGATCAATTTAATTGCCGACAATTCCGCGTCCGCCCAACTAGGCATGCCTGCAAATTTCTGAACGCAGACTTTCTAGATAAATATCTTAAATACACTTCCGCACACATCATCTGCATACTTTTGTACACCATTCTAAATCAAATCGAAATAATACATAGTAGGATGATTGAATTTGAAGTAAAACTGTAGACTGAGCAGCTTGCTTACCCTCCACTCGTTCTTCGTTGTCGTTTTGCAGTTCACTCTGCGGGTGCTGGTCTGGATTTCGCCGTGCACTTCCAGAGTGAGCACTGCCGCCTCGCTACTGCCGCTGTCACTGCTGACTTGGTACCATAGTGTGTTTATACTGCCAATGTCGAAGGCTAATCGCAACATCCTAGACACCTATTGACAGTGGGCACAGCAGCAGGGTTTCCAGTCATTCACCAGACGACTTTTACCTTGTGATTATCGTCACTACTTCTTTGCGGCGAATATTGAGACAGATTTTAAGTACTGCAAGTACAGAATTCCGAGGGGACACGGTGTTAAGGTACAAGAACGAAGGCAGAACGACATTTGAGCTTGCGTACGGTCGCAGCTACTTTAAGTGAGCAGGATATACAGGCAAGTCAATCTCCGACTGGATGCGAGAAATAAACGCCCGTTGCAACACGAGGCATGTGATCTTCAGATTTGGGTGAGCAACAAATCTCCCATCGTGCGGTCTCACCTGAAAGTCTTCACACCAGTCCCACATGCACGCCATCATGTCTGCCCCAGGGCCTTCTGCCATTGCTTTCGCGGATTTATCGGATGCACTAGGTGTAAACATATGCATATCCACGTAGATCTGTGTATTCTTGTTCATTTCTGTGTCGCTCGGCGTCGCCAGAAACTGGCCTAGCCATGTACACTGTGCGTTCAGCTCCGGCTCAACTAAAACCGTTGTCATAGCCATTCCGTACTAGTAAGCATAATGACATATGATATATCACATGAGTCAAAGGGAGAAAGTTGTTGACAACACTGCCGAATACTCAGATGCAATATTTCTGGCATCAAGCGCGTCGCGCATTATTAGAATAATATAGCTTTTAAGAGCAATTCATATTCTACGCCGCTATAGGGACTATTCGCTACGATATGTAAAGCATTCGAAAAGCCGCGAGAGAATATGTATGAATGTGAGCAACGCACAGTCAATTACATTGCTTGTGAGGTCATGAGCAAAAAGTAATATAGAATCCAAACACCGATTCCGCTGTGGTATTATGATCTAGTACTTATCCGCGAAGCTACTAAAACGCCAGCGGCAACCAGGCTACGTCTTTGAATATCATTACACTCAATTCAAAACTTGGGCTCAAGAATAATTGTCAGGGGACACATGCTACACCACGATCAATCTCACGCACCATTGCCTCTTCATATAAGTCATCGCCCAACATCTCTGAATTATGTGTTTTCTCATCAACAGTCTCATTGAACAATTCTCCATCGTCTCGAAGCTGTGCACGACCCTTCAGGAAAACTTCAGCCTCTTGTGCAGAAATGGCAGTTTCGTCTGCCGTTGCGATCTTGTGCACCTTGCCTCCAGAAAGCACATCATGGATCTGAAGTATTTGTTGGGCAAGCACACATACGTGGTGATGAAGTGATGTCTGTGCCCAGGCAAACGAGATTCATTTACTGCTCCAAAGTTCTTGAAATTAAAATACACACGAAATGTTGAAATAAAAATGCAAACTAAAGGTAGTAGAATGTTGCGAAGTCTGATTGCAATCATGGCGAAGAAATGAAATGCAAGTATTGAAAGCAATCAATAGATAAACATCAATGATCAAATCTACATAACGTTAGGATGTCGCCGTATGCATAAGTATAGTTCTAGCATGACATACAAGTACGAAAAAATATAAACATATGCAGACATTCATACGCGTATAGGAATTAAATTATACACATACTGGTTTGTGTAAAGCAACATACCGTATATATGAATTCGTGGTGGGAATATAAACGATTACAGAACGATGTATACAGTGGCTTGTATTAAGCAACATACCTTGTATATAAGTAAATAAGGGTAAATAGCCTTACAACACGCAGAAAAAAAAAATTGTATATATACATATATACATATAAATATATAAATATATATATATATACGTTTATATACGTATATATAT